GGTTCATATATTTAGATTAAGTTATTTTTAGTGCATGTATTATTCTTTCCTTATTCAAAGCTTGTTCAAAAATGATTTTGATGGTTGTACATAGAATTTTACGATTTTTTATAATAAATACTGTAACTTGCAAATGTTGCAATAATAGTGGAATGCAAATATTAATGCGTAATTGCATTTGAAATTGGAGAAAATAATAAAACTTAATCCAACTGTTTAGTTGCATCACAATATATGTCACAAACTAAAACTATCTTAAAAATATCTGGTTAAGTATACATTATCAAAAACTGTTTGCGGCTCTTTTTACAATTTTCAAAATGCAATGCGGCTCTCGAAAACCCATGAGTTTGACACCACTGATCTATTCTAGACGATTCAAGCATTGCTTTGGGAAATTATATCACTTCAATTAAATTGAAATAATCTCGCTATATTAAATACAAAATCGTTGCTATCATAAAGGTAAACCAATTCAGCCACTCGAAATATATTGGCCTTCACAAAGCAATGGAGGCAAAATTGAGAGTTCATGAGCTATGAACATTTGTTCTTTTCTTTGTCTTGAACTTTCCATACTCCACAGCCCCTATTAATTTTTTTTAATTTTAATTACCATGTGATGGTCATACATATCTTTAACTTGTATTTTCTGTCATGATGTATTATCTCAATGTGCCAAACTATTAATTAGTGTGCATATTTTGCTTCCAGATGACATAAATGTATTGTCATGTTTATTACCTCAGCTTGGAGTATTGACAAGAAAAAGGTGCCAGTAAATTAGGTAAAAAAATTTTCAACTCATTGTTATAATCAGAATTCACAATCAATAGGAATTATAAACAGCCAACAATCAGTGAGAATTATATGCGAAATCCCTCAGAATAAATTTGTCTAAAATCGGCAAAAAGGCAAAAAATATAGGTAGTTTCCATCCACACAAGCATTTCAAGAAGACTTGCTCGAGCCAAACTAAATGAGCATCGTCAGGTGATCGGTAAGGCTGCAAGTTGAATTCAGCCCTGCAACCTCCTGCATAGAAGATAATATTAATTAGTGGGCTATGAGCTAAATTCCTAAATTTAAACAAACCTATCTACGATGCATTATGTACCAGCAATGTTACCTACGATTAACTGAATATGTAATATGTCTAATAAATTCACCTACAAAAGCAAGTTCGATAGGTGCAAACTTTGTGTTATGGAATTGTATCGCAGCACAGTTTTGTATGACACCCTCTTTAAATGCGCAAACATTAAAATTACTAACTTTGAACTTTGTCATTATCTGCAAAATGTTCCACACAAATCTTTCCGCTATCGCGTTTGTAATCTTCTCTGATAAAAAAAAAACGTCTATGATGTCCAGAATTGCTCTTTACAGCTTGCCTGTTATTCCAGCTTTCCAAGTAAGCAAAACTTCTTAGATATAGAGATTATTTTGTTTCGTTACATGCGCAAAAAGACAGGTACTACACGTAAAAAAGACGCCGAGTAGCAAAAGCGAGCGGAAAACGGACGCGAAGGGCGACGAGAAATATGTGCATTGGAGCGTATCATGAAATACAATGTTTTGCCTGTAGTCTTATGGAGTGACGTCAGAGTTGCCTATCATGTTGTTTAATGTCATTGATCTAATGAACAGGTCTAATCCAGACTTAATATTATCTGTTCACCACAATACTCGCAATTTTTCTAACTCTCTGGAAATGTACATGCAAAACTCTCTCACGTCGTTTTGGGCAAATAAAAAGGACTTACGTTACAGCGCCCATTAATATATGTAGGCTACAGAAAAGAAGTGATATGGGGGTCTACTGTTCACTGTATTAGTACCCACGAATTGTTTTGTTTAGATTTAGAACTTCAGATCGCTACCGAGGTATTTGTGGTACACGGTAAAGTATTTTTTTTATATATGTTACTGATAAAGAGAACCGGAATGACCACAAACGTATGCACGTGGACGGAATACCAAGCATTTACGCCTCTAATTTGCACATAAAGCTTTGTTTCATTCCATGAGGTTACACAGCATTCCCGGCATATAATCTTGCAAAAGTCAGAACAGAGCTTGACTCATATTCTAAAAACAGTAATAGATTGATTCACGTGAACTTTGAAACATCTTTGTTGTGTACGTACACAATTTATTATTGAATTTATCAATTTCACGCTGTTGGAAAACTGAAAATTTAGTATATAATATTACATTATTCTTAGATCAATCACGTGTGTGTGATTCATATAGAAAAAAGTAAACTGAAGCTTCCTATTACATTCCCCCGTAATCGCTCACATATATGCATCGAGAAGTGCTAGTTCAGTCCTGAAAGCAACCAATCAGGTGATTTTGCCCCCTATCATAATTAATCTGAACCACTAGAGGCGTTGTGTTGACAGACTCGACAAGGTAACGATGCGTCAATTCAGCAATTGTTTTCGCCTTATGTCAGTACTTTATGCGGACCTGTTTTGCCTGAAAAAATATTCAGTGTGGCGCACATAATCCTGATAATTGAAAGCGCCATAACTTATAATAATTATCCGCATGTGTTTCAGGGTACCAGTACTGTGTTCAATCGTTGTATCATGCCGAGCACGGTATAACATAGATACGGTACGGTACCGTACCGGTACCGGTAACACTGACACTATAACATGGCGTGGCTCAACGGGCTAAGCGTTAGGAATAGCCTACGCTCGCCACCGCACCTCTAATTACTCTGCGTGGGTTCGCAGGTTCGAATCCCATGCAGGGATGGTTATGTGCGAGAGGATTGCTGGACTCCTCGCCGTCGTTGGGTGGTTCACGTAAACGCTGGTCGGTTACCGTACGGGTACGGCTTCCTCCACCAACAAGCATGCTCCATGCTTCCGAGAACAAGCAATATAACTAATCCCATACCCGACTTGGAATGGTAACCGGACGAGAGGCCGTGGTTCGCCATATGGATAATCTTATCGGCTCTCCTCTCCCCCGGGATAAATATGTAAATCCTATCCTAACATCTCAAGACAAAATGACCTGATACGGTACCGGTAGGTTATAATAAACATAATTTAAATAGATGGAAAATCAACCAGAGGAATGTTTATCTGAATTTTTCAGTATCACCAAATTGATTTTATCATAAAATTTTCTTGATTTATACAAATTTCTGTTAAACACGAATCTCCCAGTATACTGGTATTATATATCTGTATATTGGACATTCCTTATTCTGTTATTCGAATATTATTATATTTTATTTATGATTTATATATTGGATTATATTGCATTTGAAAATAAAAAAATATTTCATTAGCTTCTGTCCTAACTTGGTATGCTTATTTCTTCAGTCTTCTGTTCATTTCTTTGGCTGAGGTCAAGTTTATTTTACCTCTAGTGGTACTTTCAAATCCGCAGCTATTTTTCTCCCATTTCAGTAAACTTTTGTTTGATGTTCCACTCCCAGCAACAGCAAGGCGCTCTACAGACTGCCCTCGACATACAAGGGGCTATTATTTTTTGTAAAAACCTTGAAAAAATTGGACTGACTCTTAAATTCTGTATAGAGAAAAAAAATATAGCTAGATATAGTCTATAAATGCCTGTATAGAATTTATGTTCGGTTGTGCGTACATATACAAATATAGGAAAAAATTAGATGTTGCTCAACAAGCAATAATAATGAATAATCAATACTCATATATTATTGTACTTATCACTGTACATTTTATTATTCATTTATTGTAGTGCTGTAGTATGAAACAAATACGCATATGTTGTCAGTTGCTAATTGATGCTCGGTAGTAGGATTAGCAAATCAATGAATTACGATTGATTGCTGAACAGAAATTAAAAATTGTCTTTATTGTGTCTGTGAGTCTTCGTTATTTATACCCGTGGTAAATTAGAAATGGAAAAATAGACAGAATTAGAATCCAATCAATCTGCTTAAAAAGTTAAGTAATGCGTTAGGACCATAACTTTCCACAATAGGGTACACTTTAATTCTATTTAATCTCAATGTCCTATATACAGATATATCTCATGTAAAGCTGGTTGTCAGAATAATCATCATTTATTTGAATGTATTTTTTTTTTGATTAGTGTGTCATTTATAAAGACAGAATTATAATAGAGATATTGAGCCAAATGGTATAAATTTAAAATACTTGAAACCACTATCTGGGGAAATTCTGTGTGAAATATCAAATTCTGTGTCATTTATTTTGATAATATTGTTTACCCAGGAAGGATGATTTTGATGTTTTAATATTCCTCATCAATTTAGAATTTTTTTTAGTGGCAGACATGCAATGCACATCACACGAGTGGAAGTGGTGACTCCTCTGCGGCCCATGGGCCGGGGCCACGGCCCATTGAATTGGGCCTCGGCCCATCAGGCTATGGGCCGCTGCCCATCAAGTTGTGTAAAGGGACCATGCACTTGGCTAACACAGACAGTCCTCGAACTCATAATAGAACTATAATGTAAAAAATCTGAATTTTTTTGGTCCTAACCCTAATCTGGTACACATATTACAGGAGTATATTGACAATTTTGTAAAAATTGAAAATTTTGGTAAGATAATTGAATTTTTCCTGATGGGGCCGCGGCCCATAGCTTGATGGGCCGTGGCCCCGGCCCATGGGCCGTATGGGAGTCACCACTCCTGTAGCATCACACAGTTATTATTACAGTATTGAGGTTGGGTGGCTATTCTTACTCATAAACTGAGAACTGTCATATTCTTAGTGTTGGATGCAAAAAAATAGTGGTCAATCGTACTTTTTTGCATTTTTAGCTGAATCCTTTTCTATATTATTTTGCCTCTCTTATGAAGTAAGTAACGAAGCCTAACAGTTCAGATTGTAGTCTCCTTGAAACAATCAAAGCATAAATAATATTTTATCCATGCTCATGTTATGTAATAAGCTTCTTAATTTGTGTAATGTTTCACTAAGCTGGTTTTATCTCTTTTGATAACCCACAAATCCTTAAATCCTTCATTAATATACATGCTTTATACAGGACAATACATTATTATAGTTTACTTTCACGGATTACTATTTTCCTAAATCTATTTCGTTTATCTCAAATGAGAAAGGATATTTAACCATGTCTCAAAGATATGATCATAATCAAGCTGGACCGAGCAATAGTAGGGAGAGACACCATCCAGATCACTTTTTAGAAGATCATGTGTTACGTTTAAGCGACAACGAAGTTGGTGGGCTCGCTGGAAACCACTCTCGTGCTCCACTCAATGAAAATGAGCAAGATGAGGGTCCGGTTGATAGTGTTGCGTTTCCCCCTTCTCCTGCTGGATTTTCTTCTGATTCCCTTGCGGATGATTCCGATTTCAGCAGTTATTGTGATTTTGATGATGGATTTGTCAGACGTGGAGGCTTTCATGTTCGACAGCACGAACATAACTCTGCTGATAATGCTGATCGTGCTCGCAGAATTATTGTTGAAGCTAGCCCATCTGCTAACAGTGATATACCAAGTACAAGCAGAGGCCCTAGAAATTCTGAAAATTCTGGTGCCCGTGGAAACAAACGACCTCTAAGCAGTTCAAGTGATTCATGTGTTGAAAGTTTCCTTTTACGACAAGTCGCGGAAACTAATTGTCTCGGTTTAATGCAGTTTGGCGAACTTCATTCTCTCGATTCATTGACTGCGAGAGCGAAAAAATTTGCACTTGACAATTTTCGAAAAGTCTCTCAACAAGAGGAGTTTATAAGACTTCCGCCAAGTGTATTGATGTGGTATTTATCAAACGATGCTTTGTGTGTGCAAAGAGAAGAACACGTTTTTCAAGCAGCTATTTCATGGCTACAATTCAGCGAAGCAAGGGATGAACACACCGTTGATATTCTGAAATGTGTGAGATTGTACTCTGTCAATCCGCATTTTCTTTTCGACACCATTGCAAAGCATTCGTTTTTAAAAGGAAAGCCAGCGGTCCAAGATTTAGTTTCTGAAGCATGTAAATACCACGCACTTAGTTGCAATGAGTGGAAACAAATGCAACAGCCTCATACCAGACCCAGAGAAGCATCAGGTATTACCGAAGTTTTATTTATTGTTGGGGGTATATGTAACAATAGAAGACTACATGTGGCTGAATGCTATCATCCTAAGAGAGGATGGATTGCTTTGGCAGACATTGTTACAGCACATTGTACAATGCACAGTTACAGCGTATGTGCAATGAAGAATAATGTATATGTCACAGGCGGGCATAGTAATTCTGGAATAACAGCAAATGCGGCTTCACTTTATTTATCAAAAATTAATCAGTGGAGCGAGTTACCCAGCATGATTTGTGCTAGAGAACAGCATGGTTCAGTAACCGCAGATGGGGCTGTTTATGTTGCCGGAGGTTTAATGGCGTCACAGAAAGGTCGTAAGAAACCAATAGTGCTTGATCAAGTTGAAAGATACCGACCCGCTTTCAACCAATGGGAGTCAGTAAAGCCGCTGCCCAAACGTTGTTATTCTCCTGGCGTTATATGTATAAAGAAAAGCTTTATGTTATTGGTGGTGTTAGCATGACTGACGAACCAAGCAATTCAAGCAAAATTATCTTGAACTGTATTCCAATGCTACGATCCACTTATCGATAAATGGTCTCTTCTACCACTAGGTCAACCATTGGCACGATTATGCTGTACGCTATATCAAGACAAGATTTATATGATATCAAATAATGCGAGTGAGATATTCCGTTATGATCCAAACACCCAAACTTTTGAGGAGTGGCAGCATCTACCAGAACCTGGTTTAGAGTTTGCTGGACTCGCAACTTTCAATGGAAACCTTGTCATTACTGGAGGTCAGAAGGAAAGCAACACTTTGAATAAAATGTTTGTCATTAGTTATGATACCAAGGAAGTTATAGAAACGGTCAATATGACAAGATCACTCTGCATGCATGGCTGTGTGGCTATCGACAAATTTGGATAGCGCAAGGAAAGTGGGTCAATCACATATATATAAAAATTTTAATTTTCTTGTAATTATATTCTGCCATTCAAACATGAAGCTGTGCATCTATGTACAAAAATATACATTATTTTGCTAATATTATGGCTCTCAGCCTGTTCATGATTGATTTATAGTGTATAGCAGAGGATTACAATACAATAATATGTCTTATATCCGAAATGATTGAGTAAAATAAAACTTAAATTGGACCTTTATGGTGGCCCATCGTTGTCACGCATAAAATTAAAAAAAAAATTAAAAACTCAAAATAAAAGTAAAATAAAAAAATAGTTGTGAAAAAACATAAAAAAAAAATGAAATAAAAATAAAATGCAAAAAAAAATTAAAAAAAAGTGAAAATGAAATAAAAACAAAATAAAAAAAAGCAAAAAAATTGAAAAAAAAAAAAAAAGTGGATGAAAATAAAATAAAAAGGTTGACAACGATAGGCCGCCTTGTGGCCCATCTTTGTCACGCGTTATTATTTTTAAAAAATTTGCTTCTGCCTGGGACCAACGTTGTCATGCATAATCTTACGCGCACAAACGGTGTTCCCTGGGTTTCTGACTCATTACTGATTTTCTTGAGCAATATTCAATAAATTTAATATGCAAATGTTCTATAAAGTCCCCATGATACAAGTTCAACTAGAAGCAATATATATATATTCAAAATAATGATAATATAATTGAATACAAAAATTTGTTTTTACGCGTAGAAGGCAATTGAATTGGAGAATGCTGCTTAAATGCTCAGTTGTCCGGACACTCGTGCGATACCGTCTTATCACACCCGGTACCCAGCATGCAGTCACTCATGAAACGAGTGGGAGATACGGATAGTCTAGTTACTAGTAGAATATGGTGAATCGAGGGGTGGATTGAAATAAGTGGTTGAGCCCGCGCGATTTATCATTCATCTGGCCGTACGGTATGCCATACCGTATGCACATGCCGACATGCATGTTCCATTGAAATCTGGTCTAACCATAATCGCCTTCCAGCCTTCGCTTAGTTAAATATATTACTTCTAGTTGAACTTGTAGCATGGAGAATTTATAGAACATTTTCGTTTTGAATTTATTGAATATTGCTCAAGAAAATCAGTAGTGAGTTAGAAACCCAGGGAACACCGTTTGTGCGCGTAGGATTATGCATGACAACGTTGGTCCCAAGCAGAAGCAAATTTTCTCAAAATAAAAACGCGTGACAACGATGGGCCACGAGGCGTTGTCAACCTTTTTTATTTTCTTTTTATTTACGTTTTTTTTTTGCTTTTTTTAATCCGTTTTTTATTTTATTTTTGTTTTTATTTTATTTTCGTTTTTATAATAATAATAATCTTTATTTTGATTTCCCCAAAAAAACATACACATAACAAATAATGAACACATAAAACAAACACACAGAATAATGGGAAATCGGGAAAACAGGCAAAACCTCGAGTAGGGTTTAAAACACGTATAAATACATGTGCCTGTTCACCCATGATATTACACTCACAAACATATTACAAAAAAAAAGATAAAAACACGAACGTGTTATCGTTCCAACGTTCGGGCGTCTAACATGTGTTACAAACAAAATGCGGGTGCGTAGGTTCTAATTTAAAACTGTTTACGTCGAAACGGACATGATTCGGGCTGTGTTTATTAAATTGGCGTAAACAAGTGCGAACTAGTGAGTTAGATAAAAGCAGTGTCAGAATGAGTAATAAATAAATCGAAATGTCTTTTGGTTGATTTCCTCTTTGTAAATAAAATCCGACGTTGTGATGTGCTGTAGTGTGCTAGGTGCAATGTTTCATAGAAAATTCCTGTCCATCTCTTTTTCCTTAGTTCTTTGCGAAGCAAATATGTAAAATTGGAATCTTGGGTAGCCAGTACAGCAATGCCAAAGTAGTCTATTATTTCGTTATCCATCATTTAGAATGTTGATTGTTTCTACTTTTTGTATTCCATTTGTTTCCACTAACCAAGTTGTTATCTTCGGCACTATTACTTTTTTAGTTTTCAATTCTAGTATTTCACCTGTTTACCCTTCCATGCCTCTAGCTGAGACTTAAAACGAAGTCCACGACTAGATTCATAAAAGGATCGAAACCTCGCAATATACTCGTAACAGATCGTCCACCATTTAACTTTAAATCCAATCTTTTATCCATAAACTTCTTTAATTCCAGTGGATGGGCTTTGCTGATGTTGATATTACGCGATACAGATTACAGATACCGAAACATACAACGCGTAGTCTTTTCAAGCTGACACGTCCGCATCCGACGACGGTCGGAACCTTTTATTTTTATTTTTTTTATATTAACAATATCTATGGTGGCCCATCGTTGTCACGCGTAAAATTGAAAATAAAAACCGAAAATAAAAAAATTGTTGTAAAAAAACATAAAAATAATTGAAAAAAAAATGAAAAAAAAAAATGAAAAAAGATAAATAAATAAAAACGAAAAAAAAAAATTAAAAAAAAAAAATTGAATAAAAAGAAAATAAAAAGGTTGACAACGATGGTCCGCCTCGTGGCCCATCGTTGTCACGCGTTTTTATTTTTAGAAAATTTAATTTGCTTCTGCTTGGGACCAACGTTGTCAGGCATAATCCTACACCACAAATGTGTTCCCTGGGTTTCAAACTCACTACTGATTTTCTTGAGCAATATTCAATATGAAAATGTTCTATAAATTCTCCATGCTACAAGTTCAACAAGAAGTAATATATTTATAATAATGATAAGAGAATATAGAATTGAATACGAAAATTCGGAAAATTTGTTTTTACGTGTATAAGGTAATTTAATTGGAGAATGCTGCTTAACTACTCAGTTGTCTGGACACTCGCGATGCCGGTACCGTCTTACCAAATACCGGTAGTCGGTTATAGTCGCTTTGCGTCTGACCGTACCGGTAGCCATACAATCACTCATGAAATAATGGGAGATACGGATAGTATCGCAGAATATAGACTACTGAAACACTCTCTGCGCCTGCCCCATACCGTACAGCCGTAACGTACCGATCCAGACAAATGATAAATCGCCCGTGCTCAACCATTTATTTCAATCCATACCTCGATCCTAGTAGAATATAGTGAGTCGAGGTATGGATTGAAATAAATGGTTGAGCACGGGCGATTTAACATTTGTCTGGATCGGTGCGTTACGGCTGTATGGTATGGGGCAGGCGCAGAGAGTGTTTCAGTAGACTATATTCTACGAGACTATCCGTATTTCCCATTCTTTCACGAGTCAGACGGTACCGTACCGGCATCGCACGAGTGTCTGAGCAGTTAAGCAGCATTTTCTAATTAAATTATCTTCTACACGTAAAAACAAATTTTCGTATCCAATTCTATATTCTCTTATCATTATTATAAATATATTGCTTGTGGTTGAACTTGTAGCATGGAGAATTTATAGAACATTTTCATGTTGAATTTATTGGATATTGCTCATGAAAATCAGTAATGAGTTAGAAACCCAGGAAACACATTTGTGCGTGTAGGATTAAGCCTGACAACGTTGGTCCCAAGCAGCATCAAATTTTCCAAAAATAAAAACGCGTGACAACGATGGGCCACGAGGCGGACCATCGTTGTCAACCTTTTTATTTTCTTTTTATCCAATTTTTTTTTTTTTTTTTTTGTTTTATTTTTTAATTTTTTTTTTAATTTCAACTTTTTTTTTTATTTCTTTTTTTTTCAATTATTTTTATGTTTTTTTCACAACTATTTTTTTATTTTCGCTTTTTCATTTTATTTTTTCATTTTTTTTCTTTAAATTTCACACGTGACAACGATGGGCCACCATAAATATCCTATGGCAATTGATGATTAAATCCTTACACAAGTCAAGTCTGCAAGTAGGCCTAGGCCAATAACAGTAGTTTGTCATCTGCTTTCCATTGAAATGAGGTAGCTTATGAATATTTAAAGATATTGATAACGGCACATTATCACTCGCCATCAACGAAATGCTGTCCGCAAACAGTGAAACACAAGCGAGATGACTTCTGGACTTGACAGATTGCATGCTACGTTTATTTTAATGTCTTTTCCTTTTGGTCCCATAACATTTAACAGCATCCTTGCCTTCTAAAAGTAAAAGTACAGATAGGAGCGCAACGTTTGCAAAATTGGGCCGATCAATTCAATCTTGAACTATCAAGCTTGTTTCGTTTTATAAATTCTCATTTTTGGATTTATTACTGTAGGAAAACAGTATTTGCACAAGTACGGACGTGTGAGAATATCGTTTATTGTTCAGTTGACTAAACCAAACTGGTCAATCCATGAGGGGGTTTCTAACTAATATTCCTATGGCTATATCGCAAATTAATTTGTTTTAAACGGACACGTTTGATACGAAAGGGTAATTAAATCTTTTTTTCTAAAAAAAAATTAAAATATATTTATTTTTTAAAATTGAATAAAAGTAAACAAGTTGGGGCATTTGTTGCATTCCATTGAAAAATAAATTTGGTCAAAATCACGGATCTTTCTCTTAATTATATTTCATGAAGCCTTTACTCTTTGACTAAGGTATTGAAATGTCAGAATTATATTATTCATCTAATTTAGTTTTCTTTCCAAAGAAACGTGTAGAAAACTTCTATTTCAGTGGTTCTCAAAGGGGAGCGGCGTGAAGCTAATTCAAAATACAATATTTGTCAGATTTGATCTCGCTCGCCTTATTTTGGATATTTAGGTTCCATCCGCGTACTTTTAATTAAACATACTTTCGCCTCACTATCTGTTATTTGTACATGTAACAAATTAACCAATGATTTGGAGTATTTGACATCAACATTAAAAACATTTTCCGACGTCATAGATATTGGAAATTTCCATAACATTCGAATAGTGACTCTCCCCGTCAGATGCAACGAAATTGAATAATTCGCATGTGATTATTAGCAATATACATGATTTATCTTGTTTTACATGGATTTTCATTATGTGAATCGTTTCGCAATAATTGAGCCAGAGCAAAATCTAACTCCGCGAAAACGAATGGTTTTAAGATAAAAAAGAAAGAGGCGATTTTAAAGAGTAATATGAAATGTGTGCTATCATTTTCAAGGCGATTCTCAAA